TTATGTTGCTTAATAACCCATCCTATAAATACCTTTAATGCTCAATGAACATTGATGTTTCAATTATCCTTATGAGTAGGGTAATTATCAATTATAATTTAATTTGAGGATTATGTGTAGTCCCTTAAAGGGGCAAGTTAATATTATCAAGTCACTTAGCCAACTTTTTAATTTGGGCTTGTATTTCTTAAGGATTTTCAATTTTAATTATGTTTACTTTTCTAATCCTAATTTAATCAGATTTGATTTAGCTTATGTCACTACTAAGCCCCTTTAGACTTTTGATAGATGTCTTAGTTATGGAGGTGGCGGCTGGCTTGGTGCATGCTCTGCTAGGGTTTTCATGGACTGTCTAAGGTTGGTGGGGATCTCCATCCCTTCTCTACTCACTTTTTTCCCTCTTTCCTCTTCCTTTGGAAGCTTCTTCTCTGGTTTTTCTGCTTCCTGGATTTTTTCTCTTTCAAGTGGCTGTTGGGGTACTGTTCCATTAATGTGGAGTGCTGATGGCTGAACAAAGCAATGTGGATTTGACCACTAATATTCAATGGGCAAAGGCTACTTTTGTTGATGTTGTTGGAAAAGGCTTTGACCCTATTAAAAATTTTGATGATTTAGTTTTCCCTCGAAGCTACCATGAGGTGGCTGACCCCATCATTAAACCTCTGAGCAGGAAGAGTGGTAAAATGGCCATCTTCTAACATGAGGGGGGTATTCATATAGGTAAATTTCAGCTAGGTCATTCTAAAATGGAAGGTATAAGGAAGTTCTTTGATGGAATTAAACTTAAAGAAGCTTGGAGAGTTGGCCTTATTGATGGCAGACACATTCTTATCCATTTAACAAGAGAAGATGATTATGCTAGAATCTTCTCTAAACAGGTTTTACAGATTGACGACAACACAATGAACATTTTAGAGTGGTCTACTGATTTTGATCCTAGCAAGGAACTCCCTATAGTCCCTATTTGGTTCAAACTTTAGGTCTAAAACTTCATTTTTTCAACCATAAAGTCTTGTTTAACATTTGATAGGCCTTAGGTAAACCCCTCAAACTGGATGTTCCAACTTTTAATTTATCTAGACCATCAATAGCTAGAATCCTAGTTGAAAGGGACCTAACTCTCCCAGCAGTTGAAGAAATTTGGCTGGGAACTGAACATAATGGGTATTGATAGAAAATCATTGATGAACAGAAGCCTTACTATTGCTTCCACTGTTGTATGTTTGGGCACACTGATAATAGGTGTTTTAAACTACACCCTCACCTCAGGAAATCTAATCATGGGGTTCTAAAGCCTATGGAACCATTGGTAGAGCTTGAGAGGGATAGGGCAACTATTGAGAGCCCTGATCAAATCATTTCTGGGTTTTAATGCCAAAGGTCCTGAAGAAATTTTTCAGACCACCAATGTTGCCGTGGTCATTGAGATTGAAAATGCAGACAATAATATAGCCACTACTAGTCCTAACCATCTTCTGATTGCAATGACTGATAATTTATCCAAGGATGAAGTTGGCCCCTCAAAAAGTCATCATGAACCACTTGCTGTACAGATCTCAGCTAGTGATACTACTGCCCATGAACCTTTTGTTTTAGAGCCCCTGTATTCTCAATTGTATGTTGGAGAGGTTGTTCATAAGGATTATCAAGTGGACTCCACATTAGTTGAAGTTTTATAGACTGTTGAATGGCAAACCCAAAAAATAAGAAAAAAGCGAAAGGGAAACCAGGAGTTAAACAATGTGAAGGGAGGAACATATTCACTCAGAGACAGAAATAATTATATGGAAACCAAGGAAGCCATGGCCAATTCTAGAAGGAGGGGTAAATCCATCTCCTTTGGATGATAAACCTTTTGTGTTGGAATGTTAGGAGACTAAGACTGGCACATCCTAAATCCCTTAACAGACTTATTGCTTTAGATAGGATGTATAAGTTTTGGTTTGTTGCTGTTTTGGAGCCTATGTTAGGGTGTCCAAATATCCTCAAAAAATTCTCTGGCTTTCTCATTTTAATAATCTGAATAATAAAATTTGATTACTCCATAGATAGGAAGTAAGGTGCCAAATTTTGTGGGATCATCCACAATTCCTTCACATCAAATTTAATTTTGGGGGTCAAGAAGGTCTGGATACATTTGTTTATGGTGGAAGCTCATCAAGAGCAAAAGTGGAGCTGTGGGAGTGCATTCATATTATCAGCAATTCCTGTAACTCCTTATGGCTGGTGGGTGAGGATTTCAACTCTATTTCTGCCCCTTCTGAAAAATTAGGTGGCAACCCACCTGATTCCAAATCTATGAACAACTTTAATAATAACATTAGCTTAGCTTGCTTACTTGATCTTGGCTTCACTGGACCCAAGTTTACTTGGAGGAGAGGACCTTTATTGGAAAGATTGGATAGAATCTTTGTTAACTCTCTCTGGCTGAATGAATTTTACATACTTCTGTCCAACACCTTAGCATGACAGGTTCTGACCATAGGCCCTTACTTATCATTATTTGTGCATCTCCAATCAAGCACAAAGCTAGCTTTAGATATCGTAACATGTGGTCTTCTCACAATGGTTGTCTTAATCAAATCTCTTTGGGGTGGAGAGATTGTCACCACTCTAATCCTCTCATAAAACTTTGGATGCTGCATAAGAAGATTGACAAACAATTGTCTTATTGGAATTGGACTGTGGTGGGGGATATTAATTTGAGAGTATAGGAGGCTGAAATGGAAGTGCATGATATGAAGACTAGGCTTGAGAAAAATCCTGATACTAAAATGCATTTATTGCTGGATAATGAAAAGCTGATGAATGCTATTTGTATGCAGGAGAAATTCTATGCTCAAAAGGCTGCTAAGAACAGATTCTGTGAAGGGGGCAGAAACACTAAGTACTTTCATTCTTGTATCAACTATAGGAGGAGAAGCAACACCATTCAAAATATTAAAGATCCCTCTGGGCACTAGATTCAATCTGAAGACTTAATTGCAACTAGTGTTATTTAGTATTTTAAAACTCTATTCACTCAACCTCCTGTCACTAGACTTCCAATGCAGCAAGTTCTATTTGATCAGAGTTACACAAGAAACCTGGACTTGGCATCTATCCCAGGGGAATTGGAAATTTGGTCAACCCTGACCTCAATTGACAACTCCAAAGTGGCAGGCCCAGATGGATTCTCAGTAATTTCTACAATAAAGCTTGAAAGATCATTAAAGGGGATATTATTGAGGCAGTACAAAGCTTTTTCAAAGGGATGGATTTGCCTAACTAGTTTAAATGTTCTACCATCACCTTGATTCCCAAAAATAACTCCAAGCTTATTTGGGATCAGTTCAGGCCTATTACTCTCACTAATGTACTATAAAAAATTATTAGCTAGGTTATTTCCAACAGATTGCAGCCTCATTTACCTCATCTCATCTGTGAAAATCAATCAGCTTTTGTGCAAGAAAGAAGTATAGTGGAGAATGTCCTCTTGGTTCAAGAATTAGTCGTAGATTTGGACAAACAGTGTAGAGGAGGGAATCTAATTTTCAAACTTGACAGCCAAAAGGCCTATGATACCATACACTTGGATTTCATTAAGGAGGTGCTATCAGCAAGGGGATTCTCTCAACCCTTTATTTCCTTGATCCTAAGGTGGCTTACTAATTGTTATCATTCTATTTTTATTAATGGAAGTCTCATGGCTTCTTCAGTGCTTCTAGAGGCATCAAGCAAGGTAACCCTTTATCCCCAACTATCTTCATACTTGCTTTTGATTACTTATCTAAACGGTTGAATCATTTAATGGTCAAAGCTCCTCACTCTTTATATAGCCACAGATCTAACATTGTTGTTAACCACTTAGCCTTTGCTGATGATGTATTACATTTGCCAAAGCCACTAAACGTGCAGTTAAATTGCTTTTCCAATGTCTGAAGAATTTTCAAGTTAGCTCTCGAATGAAGTTTCATATACATAAATGCCAAGTAGTATTCAGTAAAAGGGTGAAACTAGAAATCAAGCATTGGCTTTCAGATCTTACTGGCTTTTGCTCTAGTCCTCTTCCTTTGAAGTACTTAGGTACTTTATTGCTAAAAGGGAGGAATAGGCAAGTCCAATTTGATGATATTCTACTTCAAGTCCAAGATAAACTCAACAACTGGTCTATTGCTTTCCTCTCTAATGAGGGAAGAATTACACTCCTCAAAAGTATTTTGGCAGATCTTCCATCTTTTATATCACAAGTTTCTATTATGAAGAAATCCATTCAAACTACTCTTGAAAGAACTTTCAACAGATTCCATTGTGCAGGCCAGAGAAAGCAAGTGCATTGGGTGAGATGGCAAATAGTTTGTGGTAGTGCTAGAGATGGAGGACTGGGGTTTAAAAGTTTCCAGCAGATCTCCCAAACCAACTTTTGCAAAATTTGGGTTATTTTTAGAGCACAGAGTTCCATTTGGGCTAAATTCTTGAAAGTTAAGTACAACAAAGATCTGCATCCTTCTCTTGTGACTAATAGTTTGGGGGATTTAAGAACTTGGAAGAATATGCTGAAGATGAGAACTAAGGTTGAACAACTTTTCATTTGGAATCTAGAGGAAGCAGACTTAAAGTTTGGCTAGATAATTGGACTGGAGAAGGCATCCTCCCTCCATTAACTGGCTCTCAATTCAACCCTACAACACATGTGGCTGACCTTTAGTCTGATGGTGAATAAAATCAGCAAGCTCTTCAGAATATACTTGATAATAGATTACTCAATATTTTTCTGAAGAAACCTATTGACAGATACAAGAAGGATAAACTTATTGTGAAGAAGAAGGTCTCCCAAACTTTTTCAACTTCCATTGCTAACTTTTGTTTTCCTCAACAGGAGATTTCCTGAACTAAAAGTGTTTGGAACAAGTTCCTTTCTCCTTCCATGGCCTTTTTCTCTTGAAAATTATTCTATGGCTTCATTCCCACTAATGATATTTTAAAACTGAAAGGCTTTGAGCGGCCCTTCAAGATGCTGCATGTGTAAAACTGAAGAGGAATCCCTCCACCATTTGTTCTTCAAATGCTCTAAAGTTCAGCAAGTCTGGAATCTCTTGTTACCTAAACTGAAACTTAATACTATTCAGTTGTCCTGGGATGATTTTAATATAAGCTGGAAAGACTTGCAGGATCAATCTCTCCCTCCCATCCCTTATATCATTGCTTGGTTTGTTTGGATGGCCAGAAATAAGCTGAAATTTGATGAAGCCCAAGTGGATGCCACTGTCATTGCCACTAATTGCAATAGCTATCTACAGAAATTGTACTGTCATAGGAAACTTCCTGAAATCCTATGCACTACCTCCCTCAACTGTTCAAGGAAATTTCAAACTATTTATGTTCATTGGAGCTGCCCTCCTAAGGGTTGGGTCAAAGTCAACAGTGATGGAAGCTTCATTTCTCTTAATGCAGGTGTTGGTGGGGTTTTCAGAAATGCTAGAGGTGAATGTCAACCATATTTTCAGTCTCCGACCAGGGCTGAGGACCCTTTGGAAGCTGAAGCCAAACTATTTATTGTACATTGTTCATGGCCAAAAAGTGTAGCTGGAATCAATTAATGGTGGAAACTGACTCCATGAATTTAATTAACATCCTTGAGGGGAGAATATCTACCCCTTGGTATCTGATTTATTAGCTCACTGGCATACACACCTTGAGCTTAGAGATTAAGTTATCCCTTTCTCATTCATATAAGGAGGGTAACAGACCTGCTAATTGGCTTGCTAAGGCTGGCCTCCATGCTCGGATTCCCTTCATTAATACTTGTACCACTCCCCCTTTAGAATTACTGTTGAAAGGAGATCTTTTTTATCTTCCTTTCCTTAGAGTTCTTCCACTTTAACTTTTGGGAAGTGTGTTCTTTTTGCCTTCCTTTTTGTATCTCTTTTATTTTAATGAAATAGGAGCCTAGTCTCCTTTTTATAATTATATA